TCTGGTGAAAGTGATTAAATAAACCTGCCACTTCTCGCTTAAACATTGAACAACGTAGAATCCGGCAAGTCTTTCGTGTACATACTCCACATGCAATGATTCAAAAAAGTCTACCGATTCTTTTAATTTTGAATAGTACCGTCGGGATAATCATGAAAAGACCTCGTCCTGACGGTAAGAGAGAAAGAAAGAAAAAAAAAAAATGTGCTTGCATGTTTACATTTCTGCTCAGTCTTCCATATCTATTTCCTTTCAGAAAAGAGAAAAGGGAGAAATGGATGTCATTTGACAAATTTTACTTCCTTAGCGTTTCTAGACGGGATGTAAGCAGTTTGCTTCCCCGGAACAAGGAAAAGATTTTTCCTTGCACCTTTCCAGGAAATCACGGCATCCTTTCAAGGGAAGACTTAGCAATCTGATTTCCGATTTTTCAGCGAAGCGAAATGTTTAGAAGGATAAAGGCGCTGCGCAACTTTGCTTTTTTAATCTTTTAAATGTTTATATTATTTTTGTCATTATTATTTCTTAACCTTGAAATGAAATTAAACCTTGTAACTGATTCGCATCGGAAAAAAAAAACCTCTTCCAAGTGAGGAAAGAAAATAATCTTGAGGGCTAATAATAAGTACTTTATTAACATAATCTTACGTTCGGTTTTCAGCTGTGTATCAGTTTTCTGATGAAACTTTTTCTCTACAACGCTAGCGCGGAAAATAAAGCTAAAACCGAAATACCAGTAGAAAATCAAAACAAGGAAAAAGCAAGCTTTGACCAGTTTTTTAATCCAGCGAAAAATGCTTTTTTTCTGCATAACCAATCATCCCAATACATGTGAATATAAAAATGTGCGGATAAAAATTCCCAAAAAAGGCAAAATGTTCTTCCTTTGTCAGCTCGCGCGCATTAATTTAGATCCGCGCGACTTGCGTGTGATATTTGACGCATGCGCTTAATTTAGATTACGTCACGAGTCACTCAACTTGTGCAACTGCTTAAAATATTTCCTTGCCACTGCGTGTAGTCCTTAGTGCTATTTGTCTTCCGTTTGGAAGGGAAGAGTAGAATTGAGTAGCCAGATTTCAATGTGGAGATTCAGTCCAGTAAGTCTTAGCAGTCGCGAATGTGTTTGATGGTTTCAGAATTTAGTGAATCGCGCGTTCAGTTGAGTTTCGCCGTTCGCTTCGATAGCAACCCATTCTTCGGAAACGAATTCAATCATCATCTTGCGACATTTTCCTTTGCTGACTCCTAAGATGTACCGACACTCCCTTGAATTGAGCCGTAACTTGAAAAGCTATTTGTTTGGGTGTTCTTTCATAAGACTTGTGTCGGATTTTTTTTTATTCACAGGCTTACGGCAGCCGTGCACACACTTTTATGGAGTTCATCATTGACAGCGGAGATTGGTGTCAGGCTCAACACGAGTGAGGAACAGACCAGTTTAATGTGAATGGGGTTGACCCAATTCACTTTCGACAACAGTAAGGAAACGGCGAGTTTTATTGAAACTTGGCAAAATTTAAATATTTGTTAGTAACAGAACTAAATGACAGACATGAAAATGCCTTCTGGAACCCGAGTAGTTAACAACCAAGGCAGATCCGTCCATGGACCCGGCCCTGTCGTGGTAGAGCACAAGCACATGAAGTTTTTGATCACTGATCGTCCCACTGATGCGACCCTGCCTCGTTATATAGAGGTAAATGCCTTCTTTTGTTGTTAATGTGTATGTGAATTAGAATGAAACTTAAAGAAGCTTCCATCTATTGAGGATCTTAAGAAATACGATGCCCACGTTGTCGTACGGGTGTGCGAACCAACATACAACATCGAGCAGTTGAAGAAGCAAGGAATCGATGTTCTGGTGAGTAAAATCGATTGATTACTATTCCTCTCGACGATACAATATTAAAGCGAAATTGATTAACCAGTAAATATCGGTGTTTACCTCCGAAGACTGCGGAATACATGCGAATGTAATCGATTTCCTCATGTAACGGCGTGGCCATTTTGTTTTTTGATTTTCGCGTTCTCATTTGTGTTCAATGCTAATTTTTAGTGGTTGTTTGATGTTGGCAGTGAAAACAACTTAGTAATTCTGATCTTTATGGTTTTCACTGTACTTGATCCTCGTTATTAATAAATCTTTTAGATACCGCACATTTTGTCCTGAAATGAACAATTGAAACGAACATGAATGATGGTGAAATCGAAATTGTAGCGTTATGGCAAATTTGTGTGGACTCTGTTGTCACCAGCAGATTTTTTCCTTGGTTTCGACTTTTATTTATTGTACATGACGTTTTTTTCGAGTTTTGGCAGTGTTTTGTGTCTATTTTCTGTCCCTTCGCCGAATATTTGCCAGCAAGAATGCATTTCGCGAATCGATCATTTTGCCCACAAAAGCAAATAAGCGAGAACGAAAACCGGCTTTACCGGCTGCAAACAACAGACTCGTAAAACATCGTCAAAAGGCGGTCAAACAAGATTGAAATGCCTGAATTTGTTTAACAAGGGGAGGGAATCGATTATTCTCGGCCATACCGGTAAGGACAAGTGGTATTTTAACAAACTTTTAAAAAATAATTGGGCCGTTGTTGGGAAAATTACAAAGCTTTCCTTGATTGTGATGAAAAATTAAGTCTTATTGTGACAAGTCGAGGCTTTGGATTAGAAATGTATAATTTTATTCTTAGAGAAAACTAACTCCGCTAGGCCAATCAAGTAATTTGAAGTAATCTACGATTTTCATCATGTGACAACCATGTTACTGCTTTCCAAAGTCTAAGGCTATGTTAGCTTATACAGACCCTAACAATGAAGATTTGGTAACCGGCTAATATCTCAGAACCTGTTTGAATCGTTAATTTCTTCATAAGGAAGTTGTTGACATTTTGCACAGGTTGTTGGACCTTTTTTCACCATTGCTTTGCTTAATTAAACAGTAAATTTTACACACATGGAAGGCAGATGTGATATCAATGTGGGTTGAACCACAATGCATGGACATATATATTTTCATTGCTACTCAATCTTCAGGATTCTTTCAATGCTTGTTAGCAATTCTAATCATTTTTGTAGATTTGTCAATGGGCATGTGTGATGCTTTTTACTTGAAAGCAATTCAGGCAACGTTTTAATGCTATCAAAAAAGAAAGAACACATTAGTGTGCCAGAAAGTGGCTAATTGTGGTTTGGATGTTTATTTCACTTAACTGTGGAAAGTTCACTTAGCCATTTTGTGTAAATTGTGTAGATGCTGACTCGCTGAATATTGTTGCAAGTGGTCAATTTTGTTTTCATGTGGTTGTTGTGTACAGTTAAATTGTTTCAGTTTCATTTAATTTTTGCCTTTGTGCATTCACATGAATTTTCAGAAAGGAAAAAAATGGTTCCTGCCCTTTGTTTGAGTCACGTTTTGCATTTGTCTCGCATCAATTGCCTTCGCATGCCTGAAATCCTCAAAACTGTCTTTTCTCGACCACGTAGAACGCGTGGCAAATTAGATGCTCTTTTACTTCTGTAGTGCTTGACAGATGGGGAAACTTTTACTTTTTCCGTAGAATACATATAATCCCCATGCACCTGGCATTATGCTGTATATTGTTTTACAGTCACCTTGTTTATGGAAACTATTGTAATTGAGAAAACTGTAACAAAGCAGGAAGCTCGATTGTTGCTCTTTGTTTACTTAAAAGTGAATAATTCAGGCCTTATCATTCAACAATTAGTGGAAGCATGCTGGCCTCATGGTTGGTGTGCTCGACACTTGATCGAGTGGGTCTGGGTTCAAGCCCTGGCCAGGGACGTTGTATTTTGTTCCCAGGCAAGACACAGTGCCTCTCTTCACCCAGGTGTTTAAATGGGTACCTGTGAATTTAATGCTGTGGGGGGGAGGGGTAACCCTGCGATGGACAAGCATTCTGTTTAGGGGGGAGTACAAATACTCCTAGTCGCTTCATGCTATGGAAACCAGATTTAAGTGCTGGTCTGAAGGACCACCTGCCTTGTAACCAGGCCTTAACTATCATTAGACAATGAGAAGATGAGAATAGTATTAATCTTTTTGCACAGTCCTTACTTATCATGTAACTATGCTTGAGTTAATAAGTTCAAGCATCCCTTTAAATTTAAATATTCAGCTGTAGGTCGTGAACTTGTACATGTGTGAGCTTTAATGCATTGGAAAGAGATCAAATTTACCCTTTTACTTTCTGGGATGGTTAAAGATGAATATCTCCTCGCAACATAAGTAAAATTTCTAGCTGACAGATAATGAAAATAGACCAAAAAATTGACAAGAATTTTTTATTTTGTGTAAAACCAATTTTTTTTTAGCTTATTTAACCATTTGACCCCTAACAGTGACTAGCATCTAAGTTCTCCTTACAAAATCACCCCTGAATCAAACTCTCAGGTCACGAGAATAAAGGAAATGATCACTAACTAAATTCTCCTTATCAGCTCCTTAGGAAACATGTAGAACGGTAGAGAGAATGTGTATACTAATGTCAGGGTGAAAAGGGTTAAGAATTACAAGAGATGCAAGCCAGACAGTGTAGATTGATTTTTAAAGTTATGGGAATGTTTTAAATGTGAATTTTCAGGACTGGGCTTTTGATGATGGTGCAGCACCCCCCAAAGAAGTAGTTGAAGGATGGCTTCAGTTGCTTAAGAAGAAGTTTAAAGAAAAGCCAGGATCATGCATTGCTGTGCATTGTGTAGCTGGACTGGGCAGGTTAGTCATGCGTATTTGATTATTTTATAGAAAATGCTCAATGTAAATATTATTATTATTATTATTATTATTATTATTATTATTATTATTATTATTATTATTGAGCAAATCTACTGCAACCTGCTCAAGAGTGACACGATAGCTTTCTCCAATAGGAAAATTTTCACAGTGGACTTTTCGCTTTTTTGAACCCAAAAGTTCTTTTTTACAAAGCAGTGTAACACGAAAGAAACTTAAAGCACTGAATAACAAAGATACAATTTTTTGTCCACGCACACAGAGAAATTGTGTTTGTACATCTGACTAACCTGTGTCTTAGCGTCTGAAATGTATCTGACCATTTTGTATGCGGGATGATGCGGGATATGGCAAGAAAACGCCGGTGTAACGCTGGGTGACTGCTGACGCAAATAGCACGTGACAAAATATTTTTTTGGATTTGCAAAATATTTTTGGATTTCATAATATTTTTTTGGATTCGCAAAATATTTTCGGATTTTGAAAATAAATTTTTTGGATTTCAAAACATTTTTTTGGATTCGCGAATTATTTTCGGATTTTGAAAACATTTTTTTGGATTTCTAAATATTTTTTTTGGATTTGCAAAATATCTTTGGATTTGTCAAACTTTTCGACACTAAGTTTAAAATAAATATTGTAATTTGAAATATTTGTCGGGATTTGAAAAATATTTTTGGATTGTCCCTTTTCGGCTTCCGTAGTTTTTGGTGAATAACTTCTTCAAAATGATCAATCTCTTCGCTATTTAGGATGTTAAGCAATTTTCTAATTTTCTAATTTTATGCGGAAACATGCCTGGAGGATGAGGAAGTAGGTGAATTATGCAGATCCGCACCACTGCATCCAGTCAGATGTCCTGCTATCAGCTATTTATCCTTTGACCTTTAGAAGTGACTAGCATGTGGTCAAAACAAGCGGGAAAATCTCCTCACAGCCGGTCAACTTGCCCATTGCCTAGCCCTTAATGAAACCCCTGCACTAAGAATGGGCTTTCATGTAGTCGCACTTAAAAAGTGAACTCATTGAACATTCTATCAATTGCAGAGCACCAGTCCTTGTAGCTCTGGCTCTTATTGAAAGCGGAATGAGATATGAAGATGCCGTGGAATTTATCAGGAGGTATGATAACGCTAAATTAGTTTAGCGCTTAAATTCAAGTTGATAGTCTTGACAGAAAACTCTTACCTTGATTCTAGAAACTTTTTGAGTATCGGTAATCAAGTGTTAAAGCTTTGATTTTGAGTTTTCACTTTTAAGAATCAAGAATTAAGTTTCAAGGTGGAGTTTTCATTTACTAGAATGTCACTGAATCTGCTCTTACACTTGTTTTTTAATACTCCTTTGCTAGTGATTCCAACAGACACATCAATGCCACTTTTCCTTTCTAGTCACTCGGTGCAATAGATGTTGTGATTGCGGCATATGGAAACTGAAATTGTAGATATCTAAAAATTATTCAACAGAAATTGCTAGTTTTGACATTTCTTTTTTTGAGGGCAGTAAGTTAGAAAACTGTAATAGGTTCTTGCATCTCCCTCTTAAAATATAGTTATTTGTTAATTCATTCATTTTGAGCAATAATGATATGGACATGTACATTTGATGTGGAATATTAGAGCATACTGAAAGAGTTAGTGTGAAAGGTTCATGTATTGGTGTATGGAATGTATCTGATTTTGTGTGCATGTGTTTTTGTAGAGCAGTTTCCTTTTGTATCTGATTTATTTGTTTGACTCTTATCTTAAATTTTTCAGACGAAGAAGAGGGGCAATTAATGCAAAACAGCTTACCTATCTGGAACAGTACAAGCCTTCCAAACTACTTAAAGAGAAAGCCAGTGCAAATTGTTGCATTCAGTAAGGCAAACACACAGCATTTTTGATGGAATGGAAAATTTTCTGCCTCTTAATTTAAGAATATATTTTAATGAGTTAATAATCTGATTTCAGGAAAATTCATTTTAGGTGCTTGAATATTAAATTCCAAAGAAGCTATAACAGCTAGGTTACAAAAATACCATTCTTGATATTAGCCTGAGTGACAAAAATTTTAATGGCAGTTAGGACAAAGAAGGTTTCAAATATTTTACATGTTATGTAAAATCTTTTTTTTTTTCTCTGTCTTGTTCTTGAATTAGTGAGCAACAGGGAAACGTAAATCTCTGTGCACTCAGATTTTTTTATCATGTCTCTGTAATTAGACATAGTGGCTGCCCTGTTTTCTGAGTATATATAATTATTGTTGTAAGCTGAATTAATGAGTAGAACAACTAAAAATGGATAGATTTGCATGTGCAGTAAACTTTTTCAAACTGACTGGATGAATGCATTTGCTAATCATGAAGGCAGCTACTATGAAGTCTGTTGTTTCCAGTGCGGCTACGTACATACATGTACTTCTGTAGAGATATTTAGATGTGATGGAAGGAAACAAAATACTAAGAAATATGTAAATGTTAAGCAATAATATTTTGCAGTAATTATATTTCCATGGATCCTTGTAATTGCTACCAATTTTTTTTAATCTGCTTTGCCTTCTAGACCTCTTAAGAATTCATTCATTTTTTTTCCATTCTCAAGATCTATTTACAAAAATATTTTGCAATTCATAACTTCTTTTCATTTAGTACCCATCACCTGTATAGTTTACTTTTCCTACATTTGAGTTGAAGTATGCTTTGATTATTCTGTGTTTTAGTAGCATGGAAAATTTCATTAAATGGAAACAGCATCCCCAACCACAAATCAGTGTCGAGTTGCCTTCACACAATGTTAACTATTTCACCCCAAGATCTCATTAGTAATTCTCATTACTGTCTGCCACACAATTCTTGTTATGTTAGTTCAACTCTTACATCCCACAATCCATATAGTTTTTTCTCATCACTTGATAATTATGATGTTGATATTGTAAGGATAAATTCTGTCTTGATCACTTGTTGGAGTCAAAGGGTTTAAACTACAAAAGGTGCATTTTTCCCTCCTTCTGTAGATCCAGGGCTTGACACTACCTTTCAACTTACTAGCCAAGTGGCTAATGACACCTTAAATGTTACAACATTTCAGTTTGTTTACTAACCAAACTGTCTAGCGGAAATTGAAAACCACTAGCCAGAACGGAATTTCAACTGGTTAGTTGACTACTGTCAGTGTTGAGCCCTAAGATCATTTCCTTGTATTATTGTATCTGCTCAGAGACTTTTCTATTTACAAGGAATTCATTTAGGGAATTGTTTGTGTACCCTTCTTTGCATGTGTTACACTGATTTTTGGAGGAATTCCATGAAGTTTGGTTGGAGCTGGGTGAAATTGTAATTAATATAATTATTTCAAGTAGTTTGAGATATAGGATGTACAATTTTTGCATGTCATTCATTCCAGGAGTATCCTACCTCCACATTGCAATGAAGATTGTCATTTTCAGAAAAATTGCTAATATGAAATTCACAAATTGTTTAACTGTTGCTATTTATTTGATTTCTTTTTAAGCTTAGAACTTTACTTTTTTTTTCTTTTTTGTAACTCAGAGACAATTCATTGCAATTTTTGTATTTTTAATTCTGAGCCAAAGCTCTTTCTCTAACTTTTTCGGTTAATCAGAGGGAAGAGAACCTAAGACCACAATGATTAGAATGTAGTATACAAAGAACTGGACATCAAGATAGCTTATTTTGCTTTTGTTACCAAAGCGCAAATTTAAATAAAAAAGTGGCCAATTTTAGGGGCTCTTGTGTGCAAATGTAGCCCATTATCTTTGATGGTCATTGTAACCTAAAAAAAATGTCATGGAATCAGTTGTAAGTAGGAGAATCATGCAGGAACTTTGTACATTTGAAACAAGTGCATTTTCTGAGCAGTCTCAATGTTTCAACTGATCCAAATTAGTTTTGATATGGGATCTAACAACTGCATGAAATCTGGCTTTTTTAAGAGGAGCAGCTTTTAACAATGAGATTTCACATAGCAACTGTAGCATATTAAGCAATATTTACGAGCCCAAACAAAATAGCTGAAAAACTAATGTACTATGTACAGTTTGGGATTAAGATGACCTTTGAAATCCTCTGAAGTATCCCTTTTTTTCTCAACTTTGGAACACAATTGAGTGAATTGCGACTATTACTCCTTTATGCTTTGACTTCACAATTAGCAAATTTGTTTTCTTTACCTGAGACATGTTGATGTATTGCTGTAAATAAAAAATCTGCCCACAGCTACTTCAATTTGTATTTTTCTATGAATTAAAGATCTGTCAATGTGCATATGTTGACTAAAACCAACAACTGGGAGGAATAAAAATTCTGCAACACCTACTTCAATTTTGTGTTTCCATCTGTGCTCACAGCTACTTTTATTAGACAAACTATTTGCTTCTTTCTACACACCCTTGGTCTTACGAGTGATCATTTCTCCAGATCCTTCACAAATCTAATGGTGTCCCACAGATATATATATATATAGAGCTGGTAATGAGAATTTGCAAAAATTCATGTAACACTAAATACTAATGTGGAGCCAACAAAATAAACAAATCAAAAATAAATAAGCTATCATATCTTGGAGAATTTAGTGACCTGATTTTTGCCTCTGAAGAAGGAATAAAATCAGCCAGAGAGAAGTCTACATGTTGGGGAAAATATCTGTTTGCTATAAGCATATGCATCAACTACAAAACACTTGTTGCCATGAGCATGTAAACGAGGGACTGCTGTACAGCCTCTTGTCTGCATATTTACGACCAACACTTGAAATCCAGAATAGGAAGTGGTAAATACTCTCAGTTATAGCTCTCAGTTTTAGTCAGCACCATTTTCACAGGGCTAAAAATGAAATTATGCTCGCACACTTACAAGCAGCTATGAATTTATTCATGTGAAAAGCTTCAGGAGACTATCTAGAGTGGTAATATTGAAGCTAGAGAATTTTGTTAGCTCCCTTCTAGAAAACAACCATGCATTACTTATAAGATATTCACTTTGTAACTCCCTACATTTTAATTGTCATTAATGATAGTTTTGGCTCATAAGATGGTTTGAACTGTACTTGTGTAAAATATCAACAAATTAAGCCAGTCAGAGATCTGAACAAAAGTTATTTTAATAAGACCTGAAACAATGAAGTTCAATTTATCTTCAATCTGTAACAGCATCATAAAACTAAGTTTAACTTAGAAATAACAAGCCAATTCTTCATAATTCTAGGCTTGAAGAACCAATTTTTTTTTAACCATTAGTTTCACATGAACATGTCATCATATCCTGGTGGTGGCAAGTGATCTGAGTCAGGTCTAAAAGACAGGAAAAAGTGAATTATTTTAAATTTATCGAAAAATTGTTGAATGTCATAAAAAATGAAAGGAAAAAAATATTTCATACATTTTTTCTCTCCGATAAAAACTGCACAAAGAAGTTTGTGAGAAACTTGTTGACCCTTCGAGCCAGTTAATATAATATAGTCATGATGACAAACTTCTTGAATGATAAGAAAAATGAGCTAACCATGTAAACAACAACCAGTGTCCTACTACATGAAATTCAAGTGTTTTGAGAAACTCACCCAGCAAATCTTCCTGACCGTGGATCAGCACCTGATCCTCTAGGTGGTACTGGTCCAAATGGATCAAACCTGGCCCCTGGAGGGACAGCACCCCTATAACAAGAACAGACAGTATGTTTTAGAAGAGGATTTTACTTAACCCATTATCTTACCCCCTAACATCAGTATGCATATTCTCTATATTTTCATTCCGCTAATTTATTCGTGTTTTTCTCGTTGCCATGTTCCCACCAATAACGTAGCTCCATTTTCTGCCTTTAAAAGCACACACAACCGTTAGCTCTGTCGGAGCTTTCGACAAAGGGCTAACACTCAAAACGTCAGCTTTTGTAATCTTTACAGAGGCCAATTTACCATTTCAACTTTGTTGATATATCCAAATTATTTCATTACCCCCACCGATGCAGCCCCAAACAGTTTCTTTAGGAACTATCAGCCTTTATTCTCTATACTGTTCTCTATTCATTTCCTAGGACATTGACAAGGAAAATTGTTTAACAATCAAAAGCTCTTTTAGTTGGTGATTATTTCCTAAATATTCTCGTGACCTTAATTAATATGTGATTCAGGGATGATCTTGCAAGGAGAAATTAGATGTTGGTCACTCCCAAGGGTTTAAAGTGTAAACCATCAAAATACTAAGATGGTAACAAAAGCCCCCACTACAACACTACAATACTGTGTGAAAGCAAACCACTAACAACTGCAAGAAACACAAATTATTTCTGAACAAAAATTGCATAACAAAGTATAAATTTTGTATTGCATATATAAAACTAGTGTTGCATGGTCACTACTTCTATGCAAGTCTTGCCTGATTACAACAGGGTTGTAGCTAAGAAATTGTGCTGCTTGCTGAAATTTCAAGTAAGGTGGCTCAAAGGTGATGAACAATCATAAACTTGTGTGTAACCTCAGAAGTGCCCATGTTGTACTTCACCAAGCAATCACTGGCCAAAATTCCAGCCCACAAATAGCCGCTTTTTCATCTGACAAATTTTGCTGGCAGTTAGCGCTGAGCGATAACCCTGTTACAATCACATAAAAATTATGAATAACAAGGATGTAGTACTCTTGTGAATTGTTACAGGAGTCAATCAAACCTTGGCAACTGTCCTGGGAGGGGTGGTGGTCCAAACCTTCCAGGTCCTACCCCACCCATGCCTCCTGTACGAAAAGGGTCCATCAACATGCCACCACTACCACTGATTAGAGCATAAAAAGAATCAATATATTAGCTGATAAGTAATTGCAGAGAACACTGCTTTACAACAAGATTTACAACATACAGTGTGATGATGGATTTTTTCCCTTGAGAAGCAGAATATAAACGAAGGTCAGCTCTTCTATATATTGCGAATTGTAGTACCTTCAGAAGTACCTGTCCCAGCATCAACTCTTTGGCAAACATGTTACCTGGTGGCTTGTTTAAAGTACAACTTACAAATTATTGTACTTGTTAACTATGATTGATGTTGTTATAGGTCATAGGAGTTGATTTGGAATAAAAATGCCAGATCTCCTGGCACCAACTTGTTGTCAAAAGAAAATGCACACAAGTTTGATTCTAATAACTCACCCTGGGTGTCCAGGGAACCTGTCTCCATCACCATATCTAAAAGGCCCTACTGCAGGTGGTGCCCTAGGAGAATCATTTACAGTTAGGAGACTTGGTGTGCTGTACAACTATTATTTCTAGATAATGGCCTCCTTCTGGCCGGGTTGGAAAGGGAGGAAAATGGTAATGATTGTAAATAGGTGCATGTAGCAGGGGTGTAAATTGATGTCTATTCTATTGAAGAACCCAATATTCCTAAATACAAACAAAAATTGATCAATAATATTAAATAATATTATTTGCAGAGAATCCTTAACTTAATAATCAGAGGGAAAACACACTCCCAAAAAGTGGAATGGGGTACACTATGTCTAATCACTCTCTAAAAGAAAAGAAGCTTTTATGCAGATAAAATTCAGTTCTTTTCACCGTAGAATTTTCTTTTTTTGTTTTACTTTGGTTGTTATGAACACGATTGAATGACTGACTAACATTAACTTGGCCTTCAAACACAGTTTATTTTCTATTTATAGTTACTGTAATCAATATATAACAACAGCTGTATAACCCAGCTAACTCTAACTCCTAATATCGATGGTTCAAGTTAGCACGAGTTCAAATTAGCTGATAGTAAATGACTGAAAAATTGGCATAGAGGGAAATAAGATCTTGTGCGAGTAACCAGGGGAATTTCGAATTGACTGAGTTTGAGTTAGCAAGGTTAATGTATGGTACCTCATTTCAATGACAAAAATGACCCAAACTGTACAAATTTTAAAGTATTGGCTATCATTTTTACCATTCCCCATGAAAGTCTGGTGGCCTGCGTGGAGGTATTCTCAGTGGGTCATCATCAATCAATCTGCTTGGTTGCTCCCTGGGAGATAAGTATATCCATTCAATTCACTCATTACAATATTTGGGAAAGCATCATTGTAAATGATTATTTAGGTCTTTTTATCAACAGCTACCTCTGATTATCTGTTCTGTTCTGCCTTCTTTCCTCATGGGAACCTGCCCTGCTGGTGCTTGAAGTAAATTTGTCGACAACTTCTTTGAATATTTTTGTCTTCAATTGCTCCAGGTGTTTGAATATTCTACATGGAGAAAATAATAGCATATTGATGCAAAAATACTAGCTGGATGTTGCCAAATCTCAACAGACTCCCCAGGACTGTAAACAATCTTCTTTACAAACAGATCACTGCCAACATTCTAACAATTCCCTCATAAGAACAACTCAAAATGATCTAACAATCTGAAATAATCTGACAATCTGACTTAAACTGTAATCTTCTATGTACAGTATTCATAGTATGCCTTGTGTAACTACTTGCTAGTATTTTTCCAACAATCACGAGTACAGTAAAATCCCAAGCCAAACTATTTTTAATTAATACATCTATATTTAACTATTATTTGCCGAAGGTGAGGTGAATATCATCGAATAATCCCCGAGAGGAAGTAGAGGGGATTATTCGACAATATTTACCGAACCTGAGGCAAATAATTGTTTTAGTATAATTTCAGAGCTGAACAACAGAGAAATTTCTAAAATCATAGTATTTTTAATTAGTAACATTTATTAACATTTTATTTTAACATTTTGTATAAACCGCATGGAGCAGTTTATATAGCGTCATATAAGGAACTGCTCGACTAATCAGATTGCTGGAAACTCTCAGCTCAGCTCTGAAATTATACTAATTAATTCTTATTACCCAACAGCACCTTTCCCCATCCTTATAAATGATTAGGCAGAATAAGTGCGTGCAATTATAAAATGTACTATGGACTTTGTTTACAATATTATGAAATCTCTCTCACTCTCTAACACAATCAATTACAATTTCGTGAAATAATTAATATTTACTAACTAGGACATTTTATCAGTGAGCTAATTCGTAACTAATATTCCCTGATAAAACTCATCTGTTGGTAAGTAGACATGGAAGGCTTCATGTTTGTACTCAGCAGTATATGTAACATATATACAAATTAATCTAATGAAGCCTTACACTGCTGTAAAAAGTAAAATGTTTCACAAATCCAAGCTTTCGCCAATCAACGGCATCATCAGGGATAAGAAAAATATAATTATGTAAAAACAGTGTGTGGTGAAATGTGTGAAAGACGTGACTATGTATGAAAGCTGTAGTTCTAAATAAACTGTGAAATATCAATGGAACATAATAATGGCTCTAATGATGGACCGTATAAACAAAGGATGTAAAAGAGCGTCAAAATGGTGTTAAAATAGAAGGTCTGCAAATTCACTATATTCTTCCCGGGAATTGAGTGTAGGTTTGTACTTACTAATGAAAAATGCTTTGTACAGGCATAAATTGGTGGGGTCATTTTCATTCTATAATCTTGACATCAATGCTTTCATGGAATATTTTCTTATCCCTGATGATGCGGTTGATCAACAAAAGCTTGGATTTGTGAAACATTTTACTTTTTACAGCAGTCTAAGGCTTCATTCGATTAATTTGTATATATATTTCAAAAATGCTGCTGAAGGACAACAAGAACAGTATATAACACTGTTCTGCTATCCAGATCATTAATCCTTTCATTCCCATGCATGATCAAGACAGATTTTCTCCTTACAAATTCAACACAATATCAAGCAGACAAGTGTTGAGAATAAATTAAGGGAAATATCAATTGATCCAACACCAAATTCTCCAAACTAACATCATGGGAGTGAAACGATTAAGTAACATAAAATTTGGTAAAGAGAAAAACTTTTGAAATAATTTAAACTTACAAAAAAAAAAAAAAAATGTGGAAAGAAATTTCCATTCAAGCACTTATGAAATAAATTATTTAATCATTTGTTGATGGGATACAGTGTAACTTATTTGCCAGGATGCAAAACTTGCAAAGTGATAATAAATGGAAGTCCAAGTCATGGTATGCAATTGCTGGTAGTTATTTTAAAATTGTCAGCATATATGTAGCTATTATTCTTTAATTTTTTAAAACTGTCCTATTAAGGATTCATTTCGATAGTTGGACAGTTTAAAAAAATTAATAAGTAAGAGGACTACATGCTGTCCAGTTTACAAATAACTGGATTCAAAACATTCTTCTGACAGCCAAATTAGACTCGGCCCACAACCTCGTCCAATTGTGGCTGTCCTGAATTTTTTTTAATCCAATTATTTCCAAATTGGACAGTATGTAGTCCTATTACATTCACAAATTTTTCTGCAGTGGTCCAGATTTCCGCTTAGTTTGATAACCAACAGGCTTGAGCATCGAAATTGAAGATTATCAATAACATTGTGCTCAATCTTTTATACTCCTGTTTGTGATCATTTGTAAGTGGTTTCCACAAAATCTTGGAGGGAAAGAAGCCTTATAAATCTCACTTTCTAATTAATAAGATCTCAACCAAGCATCAGTTATAAGCAAACCTGTCCATCTGTTGGGTACCCTGTGTAGAGTTGTATTCAGCTGATGTGGAAGTGTAGCTCTCCACATCCAGTTCTATGTCAAACATTTTGGATTCATCTTCCTCCTAGGTAAAGAATTCCTTAGTTTATTTGAGCAATCTGATGCTATTACTCCCTTTTTAATAGAAAACCTCCTGTATTATATTTTAACAGTTAGAGATTCCCTGGTGCTTTTTGTAGAACATGTAAGATATATAACAGTACTGTCAGTAACTAATCAGATGAAATGACATTATTCTTAAGTTGAAGAGATTATTCTTAAGTTATTCTTGATTAAAAAGAAAGCATTTTTGTGACATGAACTGCTTAACTTATCATTTTTTATGATAAGAAAATGCAATTAACCCCAAAATAAAAAAAAAAAATAAAAAACAACAACACTAACAAAAACAAAAACAAAACAATTAAAACAGAACAGAACAGAAACATGTAACCCTCTGAATTTTTTTTTTTTTTTGGTTTTTCTTTGCAATTTCTGAAAACATTTTATTTCAGTGGTATCCTGCTCCACCAATCATGGTTTGAAATGCATGAATCATGAAAAGGAAGGAGAGAGGAATGACAAGCAGAAAAAATTATGTTGATGACCTAACACAATTCCACACACAACAAGGAAGCAGCCAGAGTTTGATAACAAGCCGTGTTTGAGATGCTAGGGACTCGCTAGAAAAAGACTATTGTCCGTAAAATAGAGACAATTAGCCTACACTAGGACATTCCCTTTCCCTGCCTGTAGTAGGCAACCTCTGGCACAGGGCTTGTTGTAATCGTCTTTTAAAAGAAGCAGACAGAATTTTAATACCTTTGAGTGTAATCTTAGAAGGTGTCATCAACAAAAACATGGGGCTGTCAGATACCCCATTTAGATTTTGTAACCAGTTTTTCGTTCTATTTTCTTTTCAATTAAGTATTGGTACCATTTACGCAGTAGATACACACCATGAGATACAGCATCATTTTATCACCCAGCCTCAAGGCTTTTAAAATGTACACAGAACTAAAGTTTCCTCTTCGGTACTGAAGAGCGTAAACATCGTCAAGAGAATTCCAATTGGGAGGAAGAGTCTCTCCGAAATCAAATTCTTGTTGTGTGTTTCTCTGTAGGAATAACAAAAGTCGAAATTAAAAATCACTTTGAGAAAATTATCTGATCAAATTCTTGCTGTGTGTTTCTCTGCAGGAATAACAAAAGTCGAAATAAAAATTCACTTTAAGAAAAACGGTGCAGTAAATGTTCTATTGTAAAGTCCAAAGAACTAGTACTTCATTAATACTTACAGCACTGTAAAATTATCATCAACAAAATAAAATGTAGCAACTCGTTTGCACTTTGTAAAGAGTCAGCTATTATTTTTTTTCTTGAGACAATTTTTAAAAGTTACAGATTGTTAAACCCACCTCCTCCCCTGAATTGATACAGCGGAATTCTCGCTCCACAAGGCAAGCATGAACAGCTAGGATTACGGCGTCAAACCTGTCCCTAAGCTTGTACAAACGGAGAAGATTTTGTACGTTCACTTCCGCCATTTTGTTATTTACTTCGATGTTCTTTCCCAGATTCCTCGGTCATTGCTGAGCTACCGCGCCACACGATCGAAAAGCGCGCGAAAAAGCGTGATTTGCCGCAGTTTTCCACTTCCATTTCTTTTGGAAACTTATAATTTGTTGTTAAAAAAGCCAACCTTTCCTCAGGTTTTTCTCTATTAAGCTAACGAGATAACGCAAATATGAAGAGGTAACTAGGCTTGTAGTGACGGTAAGGAAAACTAACGTGTTTATTCCAATTTCAATTCTGAATAATTTTACGAAATGTTCGACGATATATTTTTTTTTTTTTTTTACACTGGTTTGCAAAATATTTCCTTCTTTTAATCATTTCGGTGCAATCAGCCGAGATAATTTCTTACTTTGAAGTTTTGAATTTCATTTCACTTATTTTTATCAGAAAACATGATGAGTTCAGAAGAAAAAGACGTCTTATGTTCAAATGAGGGTATGGAAGGTAAGCGTCGCATGTTTTCCCTAAGTGCTGATAATAACGTGCACACTGATAAGTTACCTCCTTGTTACTACATGTATATCCTCCCGACTAATTGTAAAATTATATTCTGACCCAAAGTAAATTCAAAGAACTTCTACAAATTGAATTTAATCTCTTCTCTTGTCTCCATACGGGACTATTGCCTACTAGAAAACTATTTCAAAGAGCACTTTTCGTGTTTACTTTTTTTCCCTTAGCGTTAATTAATTACTGTATTCCTCTGACGCAGTACTATATATCAATCTGCTGTTTAAGCCGTGATTCCTTTTACCCTCTCCTATATTTGTATGTTTTTTTGTTTTAATACATGGAAAATACAATTAACTTACAAGGCGTATATCTTGATTAGCTAACCATATTTTGTGCCCTTCTTTGCTTTCTCTTTTTGTAATCTTCAAAAAGGTCTGTAATTTTTTAAATGGACAAGGCTGTGCTCTAAGAAAAACTGAGGTGAGCCCAGTGCTCTGAAATAATATTGTCAAATCCAGAATGCTCAGCATAGCAGTTTTTAAGGAAAACCTAAGATTCCTTAGTTGCCCAAGGGCAAACACAAGGCATTAGGGGACACTGGCACCGCTAGTGCACTGCCCTGATTGAGGAAAAAAAATAAAAACAAACAATAAAACAAACAGCTGTCTCTTTGTTTTCATAAGTAGAGGATGAGGTCAAAGATGAAGTCCTCATTTCCCTTTGTGAGTCAAGTGACACTTGCAGAGATGTGTTGGTTGGGAAGGTAAGAAACTACTTCCAATAAAAACTCGTGCCCTTAGACACACCTGTTTGCATTAATATGAGTTACTAAGTGTTAAAGGAGAATTCTCTTTTTGGTCCCAATTTCGATTTTGTAGAGGAGTATGTTGAAGCGAAGAGATATTATGCTTTGATTCAGATAAACTATTCATATTTGTAAGACCAAGAGAATCATTACATTTATTACACGACTCGGGAAGTCAGAGGGCCAATAACTAAAATCAACCAATCAAAATGCTCTATTGCCGGTCAATATTCTCTCAGTATTGGACCGGGCACTGTCCCGAATGGTCCCGAATGATACCGCACTTGTGTCCCTTTGAACTTCAGTCGTNACATGGAAAATACAATTAACTTACAAGGCGTATATCTTGATTAGCTAACCATATTTTGTGCCCTTCTTTGCTTTCTCTTTTTGTAATCTTCAAAAAGGTCTGTAATTTTTGAAATGGACAAGGCTGTGCTCTAAGAAAAACTGAAGTGAGCCCAGTGCTCTGAAATAATATTGTAAAATCCAGAGTGCTCAGCATAGCAGTTTTTATGGAAAACCTAAGATTCCTTAGTTGCCCAAGGGCAAACACAAGGCATTAGGGGACACTGGCACTGCTAGTGCACTGCCCTGATTGAGGGAAAAAAATAAAAACAAACAATAAAACAAACAGCTGTCTCTTTATTTTCATAAGTAGAGGATGAGGTCAAAGATGAAGTCCTCATTTCCCTTTGTGAGTCAAGTGACACTTGCAGAGATGTGTTGGTTGGGAAGGTAAGAAATTACTTCCAATAAAAACTCGTGCCCTTAGACACACCTGTTTGCATCAGCATGAGTTACTAAGTGTAAAAGGAGAATTCTCTTTTTGGCTCCAATTTCGATTTTGTAGAGTATGTTGAAGCGAAGAGATATTATGCTTTGATTCAGATTTACTATTCATATTTGTGAGACCAAGAGAATCATTGCATGTATTATATGATTTATTAGTTTAATCACATAAAAGTATTTTACTAGGGTAGCACTCCAAGCTGTGACTGTTTTGCAATTGGTGACCTTGGTGACTAGGAAAAAAAATTATGTTAAAATCTGCAGCATAAATTTGATTGCCAATTTTGCAACTTTTGTTCCGAGGTCACATAGCAAGTTGTGATATTTTTATAATTCATACATTATGGTCTAGAATCTAGGTGAAACAAACATTCTTATTCCAATATTTTCTACAATGAAACTTTCCCTTTTTCATCTTTGTTTCCCAAGCGTTAAGCCTGGAAATGTTATGTGAATCTCGAAAATGATATGTAGTATATCATATAAAAGTGTCCTTTTTGTGATGGCAAAGGGTGACTTGTTAACAAATTGAGTAGCACTATTGTCAGTGATATTGACTGGCATTTGAAGACCTTCAAAAAACCTGAGCAGAATTCAGTATCAGTCTATAAAATTGAAGGTCACTTGAGTCAATGTTGTATGACCCAGGAAATGACTTCTGCATTCAGGTTGTCATAACCCGAGTGACTCTCAACAATCCTTTTCCTGACCACCCCATCTCTGTTATCGGCCGCGGAAGGAGAGGTCGAAATCCTTTACATAGAAAGCAGACATACAAGCAATATGGCGGACCAAAACGAACCTCGTGTGCGTTTATTTATTCTTTTTGCCACGGCAACTCGTGACAAATATGTTTACATGGGGGGAGAGGAAGGGGTGGTGTCCGTTTTCTCAACTTATCCTTAACATCTGGAGAGATCAGAGTTCATGATTACAGGGCTTCACACTAACTTTTCAACCTACAAGCCAAGTGGCTGGTGACATCTTAGATGCTACGACAATGTCAGTTCGTTTACTAGCCAAACTGGCAAGTGGAAACCGAAAACCACTAGCCAAAACTAAATTTCTACTAGTCTGTGGCTAGTGGGCTACCGTTAGTATCGAGCCCTGGATTAACTATTATTCCAGCCCTGTACTATTACATTTACTGGTCCAGGATATGTTAACCAATGTTTACAGATTTCCCACGATATCTGCTCTGGATAAAAAACAGTTTAATATGCCAGAGTAACTGCATGTTTTAACGTGTGGTTTATAGTTAAAACAATTCATATGATTGTGGGCATTTTCTAACAGAACAATAATGGAGAAACCGCCATTGGGATCAACTACAAACTACCTGAGCTGTTAACAATAAGTTTTACTACAGGAAATATGAAGAACATGAGACCTGTCAAGCAGGAAGAAAGAATGAGTACTACAGGGACACAGCAAGATTGTAAAGATGATACCAAAGTGTCTAATAGATATCTCGGTGCAGATGAGGCTACCATTGGTATCGATGAATCGAGAACTGTAAGGTTTAAAAATAACCTCTTTGTGGTGAGTGTCCAAGAGAAGAAAAGTAATTTAAAGAGTGCTAGCACGCTCAGCATTCAGTTTTTTCTAGCGACTAAGTGGCTTTTTCGTGATCACTTATTTTTTTAAAAGAATCTACCTACGCAGCAAAAATTCGCTTTCTGTCGAGAACTCTAAGGTACAAAAATGACTTTATTGTGGTGAGTATATAAGAGAAGTTAAAAAATTTAGACTGCTAGCACGCTTAGCAGTCCGTTTTTCTTACGATTAAGTGGCTGTTTCGTGGTCATTTATTTCTGAAAAAAATCTACCTACGCGGCAAACATTCGCTTTCTGTATTTCTTTTCGCATTGTGGTGCTAAACTTTGGAACATGGTTGACACAGAAAAAAGTTACTTGGTATTTTGTTTGTTATGGCGATGGGATTCAAAATCCCTTATTATTTTTACCTTTATTTCCTTTCCTGTATTCTATAGGCTATAGAAGAGCTGCGGATTCAGCGGGTACGTAAACGAATTTTAATTCAGTTGACTTATGAAATACACTCATCTCGAGCCGTTTCGAAACTCTGGTGGTCGCTTATAAACTCAGTAAAGAGAGGCGTCAACCCAATGATGTTGTTTCGCGTTCTCTTCACACTTCGTACTCTCTTCACACTTTGTGCTCTCTTCATACTTTGTGCTCTCTACACACTTCGCACTCTCTTCACATTTCGCACTCTCTTCACACTTTGCGCTCTTTTCACACTTGGAGTTCTGTTAACACTTTGCGATTCGCACACGAATATTAACTTTCCTCTCTCTCCTTTCTTGGGCGGCTGCGTAACGGCCAACTGTGTACATCGTGCTCGTGATTTGGGGGTGAAATTAGACCCTGGACGTGGAGAACGAGGAGAAAATCAAGACCCTCATGACTGAAAAGCATGAAGTGGAGCGCATGAAGGTAACTCTGAACCTGGTGAATTTGGTTTCTTGTTGTGTTTTTACATTGAAGTCTATTTAGGTTGAATGAGACTTCATTAGGTCAACTGAAAAAACAATCCTGCAAAGAGACCACATTGGACTAATTTTCCCAACCTCAAAGATAAAAACCTGGATACGTGTTTGCATTCGCGTTCTGTTTTTATTTTTTCTTATTATACGGTTGAACCCCTATTATTCGGACTCAAGGGGACTAGGCGTATATTTCGGATAATCAAGAGTCCGGATAATCGAAAAATGTCGATATAAATGGTCGTATGGATAAAGGGAGCAGAGAAGCAAGTCGAAAAAACTCGCATAATTGAGGTTTGAGTCCACACTTGATAACATGTAAATATAATAACATTAAAACTTCATAAACCACTCAGACTCTTCATGATTGAATAGAAAAGCTTACTCTGGCATTCTTACTAATTCTCTCGATTCGCTCTTTGTTCGTTTCAGGAAGAACAAATTGTCAAAAATAACGCTCTACTTGAGCAACAAACCCAGATAGAAATTGACTTGAAAAAGCAGGTAAGTAATGAAAGGTGATTAAATCTAAAAAGGTGACATCAGTCTACGGAAAAATTGTCAAAAGTAATTGCGATTTATTTCATGAACAAAATGAAGCTCACATGCACTTATACTGTTAGTAGTTTTCCAACAAACGTTTAGTGCGTTTGGAAACAAAGATAGCCAAAGACAGCTTAAAAGTGCTGAGTTTCATCCTGAAAACCCGAATCAATACCAAAATCCTTGATTCAAGGCCCAAAACGAGACGACAAACGTCTTCATTAATTTTATGTTAGGTAAAACACCTTCTTTTCGGTTTGGAATTAAGCTAACTTCTGCTAACCCGAAAAAACTATCAAATAGAAAGGATAAAACTTATACAATGCCTATAAAACGTTTACTCAGAGGTTCAGGACATAAACAGAAATATCAGATACAATTTTATCGCAAATGATGCTGCAAATTTTAAGTTTTGGGAATATTAATCGCAGTCATAGAAAATCGAAAAGCACGAAACAGGCAGGACATGCGCAACTAAATTTACTAAGGTCTCAGTTATCATTTTCGGTTTCACCACTGCAACGTAATATGGATCAAGGGTCTTGTAATTTGTGGGTAATTTTTTAAATGCTGCGAAATATTGAAAACTAACCCTGGCCCCTTACTGAGTCAACTTGTGTACTAATGGGTTCTTTCTTAAAGCAAGAAGATCGGCTATTACATTATGAAGAAGAAAAGGTAACAGGACTCCAATTATCATAAATTGTTCACTCTTATGTGTATGGCTTGAAAGACACATTGCGCCAGCTTAAGTATACTTCTGACGCTTGTTTTTGGTTCCCAAGATCCGGTTTTGAGGCCTTACCGAGGCCACTGTTCGTGTTTTCAAGAAATACATTATTTCTTCATAATGCATCAAATCACCCCAGAGTTATGATGGGTATCATTAATAAACCTGAGAAAATGAATGTGGATTACCGGGGGATACCGACCTCTAGCGTTAATACCAAAAGGACTGGTATCCCATCTGGGGA